AGGCTTCATCCCAGGTATGCAGGGGTGGTTCAATATACGGAAATCCATCAATGTGATCCACCATATTAACAAAATGAAAGGAAAAAAAAACACATGATAATCTCCCTAGATGCTCAAAAAGCATTTGACAAAATCCAACATCCATTCATGTTTAAAGTATCAGGGATACAAGGCACATATGTAAACATAGTAAAGGCAATATACAGCAAGCCTATACCAACATCAAACTGAACGGAGAGATACTTAAAGCAATCCCACTGAAATCAGGGACAAGACAAGGCTGCCCACTCTCTCCATATCTCTTCAACATAGTGCTGGAAGTCCTTGCTAGAGCAATAAGACAGTTGAAGGAGATCAACAGGATACAGATGGGAAAGGAAGAAGTCAAATTATCACTATTTGCAGACAATATGATAGTATACATGAGTGACCCCCAAAACTCTACCAGGGAACTCCTACAGCTGATAAACACCTTCAGCAAAGTGGCCGGATACAAAATTAACTCAAAAAAATCAGTAGCACTCCTGTATACAAAAGACAAAAGGGCTGAGAAAGAAATTAGGGAAACAACACCCTTCACAATAGCCACAAATGACATAAAGTACCTTGGTGTAACCCTAACCAAGCGAGCCAAAGACTTGTATGAAAAAAACTTCAAGTCTCTGAAGAAAGAATTAGAGGAAGATATGAGAAGATGGAAAGATCTCCCATGCTCATGGCTTGGAAGGATTAACATAGTAAAAATGGCCATCTTACCAAAAGCAATCTACAGATTTAATGCAATTCCCATCAAATTGCCAACACAATTCTTTACAGACCTGGAAAGAAAAATTCTCAACTTCGTATGGAATAACAAGAAACCAAGAATTGCTAAAACAATCCTCTACAATAAAAGATCTTCTGGAGGTATCTCCATCCCTGATCTCAAGCTGTACTATAGAGCAACAGTTATAAAAACTGCATGGTACTGGCATAGAAACAGAATGGTGGATCAATGGAATCAAACAGAAGACCCAGAAATAAACCCACACACTTACGGACACCTGATTTTTGACAAATATGCCAAAACCATACAATGGAAAAAAGATAACATCTTCAACAAATGGTGCTGGTCCAACTGGATGTCTACATGTAGAAAAATGAAAATAGATCGATACTTATCACCCTGCACAAAACTGAAGTCCAAGTGGATCAAAGACCTCAACATAAAACCAGACACATTAAATCGGCTAGAAAAAAAAGTGGAGAATACCCTAGAACTCATTGGTACAGGAGAAACCTTCCTGAACAGAACACCAACAGCACAGGCTCTAAGAGCACCAATCAATAAATGGGACCTCATGAAACTGAAAAGCTTCTGTAAAGCAAAGGACACCGTCATCAAAACAAAGCGACTGCCTACAGATTGGGAAAGAATCATCACCAACCCTTTATCTGACAGAGGACTCATATCCAATATATATAAAGAACTAAACAAGCTGAAAAGCAACAAACCAAGTAATCCACTTAAAAAATGGGGAACAGAGCTAAAGAGAGAATTCTCTGTAGAGGAATATCGAATGGCAGAGAAGCACTTAAAGAAATGCTCAACCTCATTAGCCATTAGGGAAATGCAAATCAAAACAACCCTGAGATTTCACCTTACACCCATCAGAATGGCCAAGATGAAAAACTCAAGGGACAACACATGTTGGAGAGGTTGTGGAGAAAGGGGAACCCTTCTCCACTGCTGGTGGGAATGTAAACTGGTACAACCACTCTGGAAAGCTATCTGGCGCTTTCTCAGACAACTAGGAATAGCGCTTCCTCAAGATCCAGCTATACCACTCCTAGGCATATACCCAAAAGAGACGCAAGTACACAAAAAGGACATTTGCTCAACCATGTTTGTAGCAGCTTTATTTGTAATAGCCAGAAGCTGGAAACAACCCAGATGCCCCTCAACTGAAGAATGGATGCAGAAACTGTGGTACATCTATACAATGGAGTATTACTCAGCAATGAAAAATAAGGAAATCATGAAATTTGCAGGTAAATGGTGGGACCTTGAAAGGATCATCCTGAGTGAGTTGTCCCAGAAGCAAAAAGACACACACGGTATATACTCACTCATATAAACATACAACATAGAATAAACCCACTAAAATCTGTACATCTAAACAAACTAAGCAAAAGAGAGGACCCTAACTAAAATGTTCAATCCCCACCCTGAAAGGCAAAGAGGATGGACATCAGAAGAAAAAGAAAACAGGAAACAACCTAGGAACCTGCCACAGGGGTCCTTGAAAGCCTTTGCCATGCAGACTGTCAAAGCAGATGCTGAGCCTGATGGCCAACTGATGGGCAGAGTGAATGAAATTTTATGTAAGAAGTGGGAAATAGTAAGAGCTGGAGAGCACAGGAACTCCATAAGGAGAGCAACAGAACAAGAAAATTTGAACATAGGGAATTTCCCAGAGACTCATACTCCAACCAAGTACTATTCATGGAGATAACCTAGAACCCTGACAATGCAGCCACTTCTGATGAGAACTGATAGACCAAGATCAGAAAGAAGAAGAGGAGGACCTCCCCTATCAGTGGACTTGGGGAGGGGCATGCATGCAGAAAGTGGGGGGAGGGTGGGACCGGGAGTGGAGGAGGGTGGGGCTTATGGGGGGATACAAAATGAATAAAGTGTAATTAATAAAAGTTAAATAAAAAATTCAAAAAAAACTATTTTATTGTTATTTTTGTTTAGTCTACCAAAACAACTGGCTTTATAAACTTATAATAGAGTTTATAACAATGTAAATATATTTTAGTCTCAAAAAAAAAAGAATAATGAAAAGAAGTGAAATGAGAAAAAAAATTGTTTCATATTCCTGAAACAAATTAAACATATATATCATAGAAAATATGTAACTTACAGCAATTGCACTCCATGGAAGAAAATATTTGTAATGAGAAGCTGTATAGTTCTTTCTTGTGTTCGTTTTGAATTGATGTTCACATCTCCTCCACTTTATGTCAGTTAGCAAAAGTTATGCCCTTCTGCCATGGGCGATATAGACAGGAATCTTGCCGCCTCATCCAGAAGGTGCTTAATCAGATCCATCATGCATGTTGCCATCAGTCCCCACGTAGTCCCTGTCAGTTCCTGTCTCTACCACATCAATAAGGAAGTAACTGGCGGTCTTCTCCACCCTGGGAACAGCTCTCCGGCCTTGGCTCCTCACCCCTGAATATGTATGCCTGCTCCTTAATCAGGAGCACCTCTCAGCTGCTGACCGGTCCCCTCTCTGCAGTGCAGTTGAAGCGACTACAGATGCCAACAAATCAGGGCCAGAGCAGCTTGGCAGTCCAGCGGCTTCTGACCTCACTCATCTATAGCCGCAGCTTCCAAACCGCCACGGTTTCAAGGGACATCGACACAGCTGCCAAGTTCACTGGGACCAGGGCTGCTACAGTGGGGGTGGCAGGCTCTGGGGCTGGGATTGGGACTGTTTGGGGGAGCCTCATCACTGGCTATGCCAGGAGCCCTTCCTTGAAACAACAGCTCTTCTCCTATGCGATGCTGGGCTTTGCCCTCTCAGGGGCCATAGGGCTCTTTTGCCTAACGGTGGCCTTTCTCATCCTCTTTGCCATGTGAGGCAGCTGTCTCCCACTTCCCCCTCCCACAGCACTTTTGTGTCCTGTCTGCCCTGTGAGCTTCTCGCCCTGAACTTCCCCAGGAAGTATTGGGGAAGTGCTTGGCTCTGGGTGTGACAGCGAAAACAAATACTGTATTAATAAGAAAAAAAAGTAATTAAGGAGCAATATATGCTTGTTCATAATTGTCCTGCAGCCCACTCTCCCGAAAAGCATGGTCATCACAAATTTGCAAAATTGCCTTGATTATCCAAGAACTTGCTTCTTGAACATTTCATTAAGCCAGGTAAGCACTGACACCAATTATGTAACAATAGTTTCCCTGTACTCTGCAATGTTGGGGCGCCTGTGCTGGTGAGGGAGGGACAACTGTGTGTACTGTTACACCCTAACCAGTCTCTAAATGAAAATCAGTACGTCTGAGAGAGACCATTACCTCAGTTTATTTCTGGGCTTGACAGTCCATGGTAACCTAACAGATGGACCTCCAGTGACTTATTATAGAGATGGCAATGCGTAATGATACCTTAACTGTGGATCAAAAATGTTAATAATTTCTATTTTCTTGAAAATGCTTTGTTTTCATAAATATAATTAATTTGAGAATGATGAATAATTTTTGAGAAATCATTTTCTAAATGACAGTGAAATTATCAATTATTTAGCTATTTAGCATACTATAAGATAGTTTTAAAATATCACAATTACAAACAAAATAAGCATTCTTAACAAAACTGTATGACATTATTGGAGTGTCATTTGTTTTTATTGATTTAATATTTGTTACAATTTATTCACTTTGTATCCCAGCTGTAGCCCCCTCCCTCATCTCCTCCCAAGCCCACACTACCTCCCTCTTCTCCTATGCCGCTTCCCTAGTCCACTGGTAGGAGAGGTCTTCCCTAGCCTACGTCTTCCCTAGCCTATCAGGGCTCATCAGTGCTGACTGAATCATCTTTCTCTGTGGCCTAGTTAAGCCACCTCACCAGGGAGAGGTGATCAAAGAGCCGGCCACATGAGTTTTTGATCTTAGCCATTCTGATTGCTGTAAGATGGAATCTCAGGGTCGTTTTAATTTGCATGTCGCTGATGATAAGAATGTTGAGCATTTCTTTAACTGTTTCTTTGCCATTCAATATTCCTCTACTGAGAATTCTCTGTTTAGCTCTGCACCCCATTTTTTAATTAGATTACTTGATTTGTCCCTGTTTAACTTCTTGAGTTCTTTATATATTCTGGATATTAACCCTCTGTCAGATATAGGGTTGGTGAAGATCCTTTCCCAGTCTGTAGGCTGTCCTTTTGTTCTGATGACAGTGTCCTTTGCTTTACAGAAGCTTTTTCAATTTCATGAGGTCCCATTTATTAATTGTTAATTTTAGAGCCTGTGCTGTTGGTGTTCTGTTCAGGAAGTTGTCTCCTGTTCCAATGAGTTCAAGGTTCTTCCCCACTTTTTCTTCTAACAGGTTTAGTGTTTCATGTGACAAAACATGCTGGAGAAGATGTGGAAAGACGGGAACTCTCCTCCATTGCTGGTTGGACTATAAACTTGTACAACTATTTTGGAAATCAATCTGGTGCTTTCTCAGACAATTAGGAATAGCACTTCCTCAAGATCCAGCTATACCCCTCCTAGGCATATATCCAAAAGATGCTCAAGTATACAACAAGGACAGTTGCTCAACCATGTTTGTAGCAGCTTTATTGGTAATAGCCATAATCTGTAAACAACCCACATGTTCCTCAGTTAAGGAATGGATACAGAAATTGTGTTACATTTACACAATGGAATACTACTCAACAATTAAAAACAAGGAAATCATGAAATTTGCAGGCAAATGGTGGGAACTAGAAAATATCATTCTGAGTGAGGTATACCAGAAGCAGAAAGACACATAAGGTATATACTCACTTATAAGTGGATATTAGACATATAATATAACATAATATGGGATAATCATACTAAAATCTGTACACCTAAAGAAGCTAAGCAAGAAGAAGGACCTTGGGTAAGGTGCTCCATCTTCATTCAGAAAAGCAAACAGGATAGACATTGGAAGATGGAAAAAACTGGTAACAGGACAGAAGCCTACCACAGAGGTCCTCTGAAAAGTTCTAACCAGCAGGGTATTAAAGCAGATGCTGAGACTCATAACTAAACTTTGGGCAGAGTACAGGGAATCTTATGAAAGAAGGCAGAGATGAAAGACCTGGAGGGGACAGGAGCTCCACAAGGAGACCAACAGAACCAAAAAATCTGGGCACAGGGGTCTTTTCTGAGACTGATACTCCAATCAAGGACCATGCATGGAGATAACCTAGAACCCCTGCACAGATGTAGCCCATGGCAGTTCAGTCTCCAAGTGGTTTCCCTAGTAAGGGGAACAGGGACTATCTCTGACATGAATTCATGGCTGGGTCTTTGATCACCTCCTCTTGGGGGGGGGACAGAGGGAGCAACCTTACCAAGCCACAGAGGAAGACAATGCAACCAGTCCTGATGAGACTTGATAGGCTAGAGTCAGATGGAAGGGGAGTAGGACCTCTCCTGTCAGTGGACTGGGGGAGGGGCATGGTAGCAGGAGAGGGCAGGAGGCCAGGATTAGGAGGGGAAAAGGGAGGGGGCTACAGCTGGGATACAAAGTGAATAAATTGTAATAAACAAATTTAAGAAAAGAGCAGGTCACTGAGTCCCCAAGTTGGTTCCCTAGTAAGGGGAGCAGGGGTTGTCTCTGACATGAACCCAGTTGCTGGCTCTTTGATCTGTAAACAACCTAGATGTCCCTCAACAGAGAAATGGATATAGAAATTGTGGTACATTTACACAATGGAATACTACTCAGCAATTAAAAACAAGGAAATCATGAAATTTGCAGGCAAATGGTGGGAACTAAAAAAGATCATCCTAAGTGAGGTATCACAGAAGCAAAAAGACACACATAGTATATACTCATTCATAAGAGGTTATTAAACATATAATATAGGGTAAACATACTAAAATCTATAGTCCCAAAGAAGCTGAACAACGTAGAGTGTCATCTTATACAGAATGTTTTTCCAAGGAAGTTCACATGGCTTCAGACATAGAATTTTGTCCTGAGATATAATTTCTAAGTTCTGTTGAAATTTAATAGAAGACATGTTTAATCACATTTTCCCTTGGATCAATATACTTATTTAATTTAGCTATTATTTAGAGTTTCAAACATGTATATAAAGTGTTTCAATCAAATCCAATTCTATTTCCTCATTTCCAATCCCTCCACTATCTACCCCACCAATATTCTCTTCCAACTTCGTGTGCTCTATTTTTTAAAATAACACTGAGTCCGGACACTTCGTGTTTCTGGGGTATGCTTGGGTGTAGGACCACCTGCTAAAACACAAGAAGTCTGTATTCAAGAAGAAACCTTCCTCCTTTCCATCAACTACATCACCTGTTAATAGCTCCTCAGGGAGGAGTAGGAATTTATGAATGCTTTCACCTTGATGGGATTTCATCTGGCTTGATTTTTTTAATAAACATCAGTGTTTTAAACTTTTTACCACACAAGAGTAATAGTTTTAAATGCTAAACTCTTTTTTTCAACTTTTTTTTTAATTCTCCCATACAATACATCCTGTTCACAGTATTCCCTCCCTCCGCTCCTTCCAGTACCGCGTGAGTGCTCGCCGCACACACACCTCTCCTCTCTCCCATATCCACTCCTCCTCATCCTCTTGGTTTCTTTCACAAAAAAAGCAGGCCTCCTAGAGATATCAACAGAATGCAGTGTAACAAGCTAAGCACAACCCTTCATATTAAGGCTGCGTGAGGAAACCCAGTAGGAGAAAAAGGGTCCTAAGAACTAGGTGAGTCAAAGAAACCCCCACTCCACTATTAGGAGTCCCACAAAAACACCAAACTAACAACCATAACATTTGGCTAGGACCTAACACAGACCCATTCAGGCTCCATGATTGTTGATTCAGTCTCCATGAGCCCCTGTGAACCCCGCTTAGTTCATTTTTTGGACGGTGTTCTCATACTTCTTCTACCGTCTGGCTCCTACAATTCTTCCTCCCTCTCTTCCATGGGGCCCTCAGAGCTCCAAGGAGAAAAACCTGGCAGAGATTTCCAATTTGACCTTGTTCTCTGCCTAACATTTGGCTGTGAGTCTCTGCATCTGCTCCCATTAGCTGCATCTGACTTGACCTCGTGTTGGACCAATCAAAAGAATTTTATTGCTTTAAGTTTCTCTCCGTTCAGTTTGATGTTGGCTATAGGCTTGCTGTATATCGCCTTTACTATGTTTAGATATGTGCCTTGTATTCCTGATCTCTCCAAAACTTTAAACATGAATGGATGTTGGATTTTGTCAAATGCTTTTTGAGCATCTAGGGAGATTATCATGTGTTTTTTTTTTTCCTTTCAGTTTGTTAATATGGTGGATCACATTGATGGATTTCCGTATATGGAACCACCCCTGCATACCTGGGATAAAGCCCACTTGGTCATAGTGGATAATATCTTTGATGTGTTCTTGGATTCAGTTTGCAAGTATTTTGTTGAGTATTTTTGCATCAATGTTCATAAGGGAGGTTGGCCTGAAATTCTCTTTCTTGGTTGAGTCTTTGTGAGGTTTAGGTACCAAGGTGACTGTGGCTTCATAGAATGAGTTTAGTAGTGTTCCTTCTGTTACTATATTGTGGAATAGTTTGAAGAGAATTGGAGTTAGCTCTTCTTTGAAGGTCTGGTAGAATTCTGTGCTGAAACCATCTGGTCCTGGGCTTTTTTTGGATGGGAGACTTTTGATGACCGCTTCCATTCCCTTGGGGGATATAGGACTATTTAATTGATTTACCTGGTCCTGATTCAGCTTTGGTAAGTCAAATCAATCAAGAAAATTGTCCATTTCATTTAGATTTTCAAATTTTGTGGCATATAGACTTTTGAAGTACGACCTACTTATTGTTTGGATTTCCTCAGTGTCTGTAGTTATGTACCCCTTTTCATTTCTG